GGGATCTCATCTCTATTTCGATCACGGCCCGGTGACGACGGGCTGACGCGGCTTCGCGGCCATGTGGCCGGGCCTCTGGCTCTGGCGGCTCTGCTGATGACTGTGAAAAATCTTGTCGGAAACCGGTAATTTTGAGCGGATGATACCGACGAAATTTTAGGTTTAGGGACTAAATTTAAATCGTGTAGTACCACCGTTTTGGTCTGCAAGGAAATATTAGCCAAAAACCTAAACGTGTACATTGATGATTGCTGATTTTTCAGCATACAATGTACACTGTTGAGTTTTCAGAGTATACTTCAAAGAATCAGCCGGGGCCTATTCTACACAAGCGGGGGAATAAAAGTATCTCCGTTTACAGGGTAGGGTGCAACCACTTGCCTGTTTATCGGATGCAGTTTCGAGATGCACTCGCTTCGGCTGCCTGCTGCACACTGCTGCTCAAGCTAAACCAAACCGCTGTGCTGTGAGCTGTGCCGCGGCCGCGCGCTCCTCGGCACGCCGTTCGTTGGTCGCGCGGCTCGCCGCGGCCCGGAGCCGCGTCACCCTAAACCCCTCCCCCCAACGGCCGATTCTCGCCAGATGTGTCCTACAGGGTGCCCTCAAAGCGCATCAAGGTTTTACTTTCAGGTAGCGAATCCGAACAAAGACGGTTTGAATCCGGCACGGTAAAAACAATGTCTCATTTTTTGAGGGTAAAGGGAAAACTTTGAGGAACTCCCTTGGTTTGAGGAAGGCTCCTCATACCCGACAAACATGAACACGTTGCGGCTATGCAGCCGCAGCATGAATACGTTATGGTGGTCCCCAGATCACCGGGCAACGTAGGAGCCACTATGGCGTATGCGAACGTTGCACGATTTTCAGTGAATTAAGGTGGTAGACACATAGTCTAAGATACCACGCACTCAAAAAATCGTCCTCTTGAAAAACATACTAATCGTTTCCACTAATAAATTCATCTAAAGAATCTACTAAGTTTTAGTAAATCCTCTAAAGAAATTTTCCTCTAAGTTTTCTTCTAATAGAGACTACTTTTATTTAGTAGATTATCCACTAACGCCAGTTTTTTAATATTTCCTCTATTCTGCTGTGGAATATCCTCTAGAGAAGTACGCAAACCTAAAAAGCTTCCAATCCAAAGAATTTTAAGTGTCAATCTAATTTTTTTACTTTTTGACAGTTACTTACTCAAACAGCTTTTATGCGATTTGAAATATTGTACACATCATATCAAAAGAAGGCGAAACAAATTTTTACACATTTTAGACTTGGTCTGTTTGGTAGTCCTTCATCCGTCCCTCCCTCCTCTCCTTCCTACTACCCTGGCAGAGGGCAACCGGTGATCTTTATTAAATAACCTTTGACAGAAGTATCCTCACACAGCTCTTCAAAAGGTAAGGCTTGTTTCAAAATGAAATCAAAACACAAATGTCTCAAACAAGCGTAAAGTTGCCCCACGCTAAAAATATAACTATTTTTTGAAACTGCACTCATGTAGGTAACACATTCTGTTTCTATCAATTATCATGTTATTGAGAATAAATTCATGTGTAAACCATGTATAGGTTATTGTTTTATCTAATCTTTTGTAAATAAGCTTTCAAAGCAACTCACACACTCTGGCGTACATTAGTACCTATAAAATTACCCTTAAACAGTGTCATTCCTTACAGGAACGAATAGTTTTATTCTCTAACTTGACTTGTGAATTTCCTCATTGCCTCTTCCCCACCACCCACCATGGATGGTTTACACAAAAATTCATTCTCATTAACATGATTAATCAATATGGAACTGAATACTTAAGCTGCATGCATGCAATATTTAATTTTAAAAAAACTATCTTTTTAATGGTGGGCAGCTTTACGTTTGTTTCAGTCCTTCACATTTATATTTTAACTCCATTTTAATAGAAGCCTTACCTGTTAAAGAGCAGAGTGAGCATACTTATTTAAAAGCTTATCTAACAATGTTTATAGAGAATACTACCCTATTCTAGCACCCACATGCTCACCCAAACACGATATAAACTTTTAAATCCAGACAACAAGACATTTCTCGAGTCTGACCTTTGCATATCTAATTAAGTACACCACACATTTCCTCTCCTCCTGTATTTCTTTGAAAAATGATACGGAACAGGAGGGAAATTCTTTTCAACACATTTATTATGTAGTTCAGGAACAAATCTCCCCAAGTTGTAATTGTTTGTATGTTTTAATTAGAAATGGATCTTCGCCCTCAAAGATCAAATTTTGATATTTACCAATAAAGAAAAAATGCCATGGAGACACATTCACAGTGCAGTACAGATATTTTCACGTGGGCGATTTGGCGTATCTGTGCACTCCATCCTTTCCAATATACTTCTATTTATTTATCTCACAAACAATTAACAATATCGGATCTAAACACTTGTGTGACGATACCGTCTGCTTGCTTCAACTTCCTCTTGTCTTCTTCTCTCCTACTTCCTCCACCCAACCCCTTCCCTTCCCCACCGCTTCCCCAATCCCCCTTCCTAGGGAGCCTGGAGGGGGGAGAGTCGCAGAGATCACGTGACCGAGGGCCCGGCGGGTTCCAACGCGTTTTTGAGCTATGTGAAATGTCTCATACCTGGCTGGCGCGCACGCGCAGTCCGAGCTAGCAGACGATCAGGC